AATCCTTCCAGAAAGGTATTTTATTTGAGAATCTCCAAATATAATTTGAAACAATATTCTTGTACTTTTCCAAAGATGATATGCACCTTCAACATTCCAGTAAGTCAAATGTGGTCTATCAATTACCAAAATACACCATTATAATCCTTGAATTTACTAAAATATAAAATTTCTATATTGATCTTTAAATTTAAAATATTTTGGAGATATAGGATGTAATCCCCTTCAAGATAATAAATATGAAATTTCCTAATTAATCCCATAGTTATATATTACTCAGTGATTAATTTTTAGAAATACACTAACAACTATGAGAATTCCAACCCTAATATTGAAGCTAAAGTTGGAGCAAAGTAAGTGGTATTTAAGCTCACCACTATCTCCCAAAAAAGTTGAAATAAAGTCAAAAAGGTAATAGACAATGACTCAAACCTTATATCGACAGTATTGTCGATAGTTAGGTGATTTGGATTGGGTTAATTGGCTATAAATAATAATAGATTCTACGTTAGCTTTTAGTTCAGATTATACAAATTTTAGGTAATATCAAATATATTTAAATCAAATTTCGTTTCTAACATTTTAAACAAAAGTTGGCATGACTCGTTTAAGTTTTAACTATAAACTATAATGCAATACAAGAACTATAATATAAAAGATCATGTAAACACAAAACAAAACATGTTATTATTATATTACATAATAAAAGGAATAAAAACAAACTAAATGTTGATTTTAGAAGAATCGTAATGGTATGTAAATAATTTGAAGGTAATTATAAGTGGGAGGTGGGGTCAGTTGAATTGGTGGAAGAATTTTGGCAGTTAGCGTTGATATGAAGCCAACCGACGCGTGTTCACGTGACACTGTCACCCACTCCCAACGGCTTAGGCTTAGTGCCTCTCACCCTTTCGTCACCGTTCGTCATCATCTATCGTTAGTCTTTGATTCTACTGACGTGTTCTAAATTGTATATATTTTTAGAAATATTTGTAAAAATAATGTTGAACAAAGTAAGTTTGGTTCGACTTTGATCTAAAAATATTGATGCCTACATATATAAAATATGAAAGATCGATAAGAACTTGAATTAAACCCTTATAAGCTAAAGCTTGACTTGTTTTTCTGTACTGTTGGGAATTTTGGGTGAAACGAAGGTGTGTTGATGATGGAATATATGTGGATAATCGAAGAATGGTTTGACTTATGAGTTGTAAGACTTTAAATTGGAAATTTTTTGTTTTCTTATGGAAGAAGACGTATACGTTGGGTGGTGGTTGATGTTAATGGTGTGCATATACGTTTTATATCACCAAATACACATCAAAGAAGATAATGTTCAATATATTGTCGCGGTATGGAATATTGACCAAATGAGATCAACGTGGAGGAGAAGAACACGTTGAGTGCAGTTGACAAAGTCCTCAATGTTCGACACAATGCTGAGAGAATCAATGTGGAATTGGAAAAAACATAAAACAAAAAAAAAACAAAAAAAAAAAAAAAAAAACTATAAGTAACCGAGTCCTCTTTGATAAGGTTCATTCTCACGCTTAGATCAACACATTAAGCAACAATATATACCAGAAGTACAACACATAAAGCACTCAATAAGCCAATAGGGTCCGCCCCTATCGTACACGTATATAACACATAAATACAGATACATATGCTACCCCCGTCCCCTCCCCCCTTTTTACAGTGGAAACGTGAGGAAAGGACCGAACGATTAGATTGGATCGGAACTCATGAAATAACGATGTAGGAAGCCTTTTTGTGAATATGAGCCATTTGTGTCGAACAAAGTGAATGTTGATCTCTATATGTTTCAACATCAGATGTTGTACCAAATTGGTGGAGAGGTAAACGGAACTGATGTTGTCAGTACACAAGTGTTGCCTTCGTATGAGAGAAGTGCATTTCACAAAAAGGATTTTGAAGCAATGCAGTTTCCACGACCACATTGGCTATTTTGCCTCAACAGTGGAGCAAGAAATAGTACCTTGTCGTTTAGACGACCAAGAAATAAGGTTCTTTCCAAGAAAAACAAAACACAGTTATAAGGTTTATAAGATATAGATCTTCGAGTCACAGGGCATCCACCCCCTCCCCCCCCCCCCCCCCCCCCCCCCCATATCTAAGAAGGGGAGACATGAATCTAAAGACCATGATGTAAAGTGTCGTAGAGAGACCATATAATGTACTTATAATATACTTGAGGGCAGCATAATAAGGCTTATGAGGTTCATGTATATACAAACACACCTATTAAACAACATAGACAATGTTGGGGCGAGTGAACGTCGTGTACTGAAGAATACCGGCTAAGTTGCAGTAAAGAGTGAGATCCACCATAGGAGGACCCGAAGCATCGAGCTTCAATTGGGTATTGGTTGGTGTCCAACATGGTTTGCAGCTAGACATATTTGCATGAGTGAGGATTTTCTTGGCATATTTCTGTTGACATTGAAACATATCTAATTTGCACGAGATACAAATATACACAAGAAATAATGAAGAATACTTGCTAACTTGCGGTAAAGAGTGAGATCCGCCATAGGAGGACCTGAAACCTCAAGCGTCGATTGGATATCGGTTGGTGTCCAACATGGTTTGTAGCTAGACATATTTTCATGAGTGAGGATTTTCGTGGCATATTTTTGTTGACATAGAAACATGCCCAATTCGTACGAGAAACAAATATACGCAATAAATAATTAAGTGTGCCAAGGTCAGTCATGGAGAACACCTGACTAGGAGAGGAGACGAGTTGATGCAGGAAAGATTAGGATGAGGCGGTAAGGACAATATCATCAGCATATAGGAGATGATATGTAGAATAACGACTTTAGATTTTGACAAATAGTGAAATTAGTCATAGATTATCACATATAGATCATGTATAGTCCATCGTTAAATCAAATTAGTGATTAACAAATAACATGAATTTAATCCATCAGAAGTACTTCGATCCATAACATGAAAAATACAAGTTGTATAATTTGGTAATATGGAATTTTAAAGTATGGTTATGGAATAATTAAAGTATGTTTTAAAGCATTTTAAAGTATGTTTATGGAATAATTAACATGTCATTAGTAGAGGTTAGAAAATTAATAATGTATTAGCATGAGTTTGAAGTTGGTATTATTATTAGTGGTGCATCACATAAAGTGTTATAATACATGACAAGTTTAGTTAAGAATTATAAAGGGTTATATTTACAACTAAAGTGTTAAGACAAAACAAGAATGGTAAGACAACCTTACGAGTCATTGACCTACTTGTCAAGTTGTACAGTTGGTACATAATATGTGAATAGAATATGCCTTGGACATGATTTAAATACTAAATGAATGGAATGAACAATTCTATAGGAACTGAAAGTAAAAAAAGTTAAAGAGCGAAGCAAGGATCGAAAGTAAAAGACAAGTAGAGTTGTGTGGTTAGACGACCTAACTATCAATGTGAGTACATGAGGGTCTTTTTCATGGGTACATGGCATAGTAAATGATGAAATATTTTCAAATGTGTCAAATGTTATGTTTATGAAAAATACTTGTGTTTATGAATTTACTTAAGAGCATCTTAGAATGTTTTCAAATAGTCTAAGGTATTTGTGTTTAGAAATTCTTTCAAAAGCATATTAGTACATTTTCATATGTGAAAATCCTTTATGTAAATAAAAAGAATTTATGTTCGACAAAGCAAACATATCATAAAATTGTAAGTTTGAATGAGAGCCAATCTCTTGACCCTTATATTAGTAATAGAACAAACATATCATGACATTGTAAATTTGAATGGAAGTTCCAGAAAATAATAGACATAATATGACATTCATATGCATTTGATGAGAGACAAATTTAATGGCTCGTAGAATTAGGTTTCATGCAACATTGAATGTGATTGGCATGATAGTCTTGAAGTAAAGGTCTAGACAAGGAATGGTACCTCACATCGCAAAGTAGTGGTCTATGAGAGTCCCGACAAAGATAATCCCCTTGGGACCCAATGAGAGCTACAATGGGTTAATCTCTTCTGTCCATTTTGGTCATTGATGAAAACCAAATTAAATGGCATGTAAGTAATGAGAGTCGAATCATTTAGCCCATAAGTTGATGAGAGCCTAAACATATAGCCCGTGAGCTTGGTTTCATGCATTACATAACATTATGTTACACACTAGATTGAAAGTAGATGTAAGAACAAATTGAAATACTTATTTCTTTAAAAGTCATAATGACTTGTTTCTTGAATAGTATTTGGCATGAAAATAGATGTCAATTAAGCAGGAATTGAAAGAATTTGAGTAAAGAAAAAGTATATTTTGAAATACATTACATTTCAAGAGTTGTTATGGTAAATTTTCAATGAGTTATGAGTAATCTTAAAGTTCTTATGAATATTGTTATGTCTTTCAAGCAAGTTTTCTATACAAATAGTTGAAAACAATTTTCATGAAAAGAAAAAAATTTGTTTCTAAAACCCATGTAACTCATGAGAAGTTTTCTTTTTAAGAATTTTATTTTATGTCATGTATATCAAGTTAGTACTCAAGGACTAGAAGAAACTTAAAGACTTGTTAGAAGTACTTCATAGGTGGACTTGGAGTGTAGCTTGCTAATAGGCTCTTGTTATGATCTTATGTTTTAAATTCTACTTTGCTATGATATTAGTTTGTAACACCCAAGCTTATTAGTACTTAAACAAATGTTCAAAAAGTTTTTGTTTGACCATATTTTGGTAAAGTATGACTTAATGTCATAAAACAATTTAAACCATAGCATATTAGAATTGGGGTGTTATTAACTGAAAGGAAACTACTCAATGAAAAAAAAACAAAAAAAACAAAAAAAAAACAAAAAAAAAAAAACAATTCTAAATTGAAATGGTATATGATTGCAACATTTAGTACAAATAAATAACTCTCGGTGTTTTTCTATATAAATTGTTTTATCTTCATCAAACTATCTGTATCTAGTTTGAATATAGAATTCGACTTAATGGAACTAGTAAAAAAAATATCTTCTCAACACTCATATCCGTGGAAATAAAATTAAAACACGAGGTCGAAAAGTCCAATTTACCCTTATAATAATAATACAGTTTGAGAATTTAATGCAATAATCACGAGTTATTTGCCTTTGGTAGATTCCAAATCAGGGCTTAGTCTTCCAATTGATATCAAATGCACAATAACCAGATTTAAAAAACCAACATATCTACACAAAACTACATGCTATAAGAGACAACAATCAAAAACCATAAAAAAAACTGCAAAATCTAGCCACTAAAGATGGGGTTATATGCAAGAAATAACATCGTACTTTCGTTTATTTGTTTATTATAGCATCTTATTTTCATTTCTTTCTATTACAACATTGTACACATTCTACTATGAAAAAATCCACCCAATGATAGCATTGTACCTTGAAAAATCAACTCAACTCTAGCAGTGAAAATTGGTTTGTATTTGGATGACATTGCTATAATTAGGTAGATTTTTCATTCTAATAATAATGAAAATATGATGCAATAATAATTAATAAACAAACAAGTAAAAGCACATTGCTATTTCCACCAATTAACCCTTGAAGATGGGTTTTCAAATACTGAAAATTGATCCGAAGTGGGCTCATCTGGAAAAAAGAGGTTTTTTTTTTTCTGGGTCATAGCCATTGGTTCAGTTCTTAATCAGACACTGGAATTAGACCAACTCCACCTGCCATTTTCCAAATTCTCCTGCATTCAAGATAAATGCTACAATTGTTAACAAAAAGATAAGTTGAATTGTAATCTTATTCAAACATGCAAAAGTTGCAATTTTTATCAGAGGAATTGTCTAATGTTGTATATATTAGCCCTAAAGGATTTTGAATATTTACATAATACAAGAGGAAATCATAAAGGGATTATCTTGGTGTACCTAAAAACTTATCAGATTTGCAAGAATAAGTTTACAGATAGCTTTTGACATTGTAGATGAAATGTATATGCAAAAAAGTATCAAAAACAAAGAGGAAATTAGTAAAATTTGAGAGCAGTGATTCAATAAGAATGAATAATTACAGTGTCGGGTTGCATCTCTTGTGATCTGCTCATTCCAGAAGCTCCGTCGATTAACTTCAACAATTCATTAGCTTTGTTCTTCCCTTTTGAGCTTCCATTGTCTGCAACATCAGAGATGCCATTACAGACGATATAAGCCATCTCTTTAACGTATTCCCCAACATCTTTCTTCCCACACTGCACCATGTTCAACAAACCCGAAACAGCATTCTCTTTTGTTCTAGCACTTGACCCTGTTGATAAATCCAGCAAATCCACCAAAACCCCAACCCCTGAAACTTTCCTAAACGCATCTCCAGCTTCCTCGCACCCTGCGAGCTGTGCAATCACCGCCGTAGCATCCTCCACAACCCCTAGCCTCCCGTCCTTCACCACCAACGAAAACAACGCAGGCACCGCTCCTAGTTCAATCACGGTTGCACGATTGAGCGGATACAACGAAATCCCAAACAGCGCTTTCAGAGCATCTTTGATTGATCTCGGATGCGAATTAGGGTTTCTGATTATGTCGATGAGCGCATACAGTATGTCACGTTTTGAACCAATAATCGGCCGGTAGGTATCAACAGTTAACAGACTAAATAACGTTGCGGCGGCGGATTGGGCGGTGGAGGGGGAAGCAGGGTTCCGGAGCGCGTGAGATAAAGCGTCGAGTAACCCTCGCGTCGACATCAAAGGTTCTCGTGAAGAGATCGAAATATTAAGTAGTGTAGCAGTTGCGTTCTCTTGTGCGATAGCAGATGGAGAGTATAGTATCTCAGAGAGATACGGAATCGCACCTGCTTCAGCAATTAGGGTTCGGGTCTCAGGATCGTTCTTGGACATGAGACGCAGCTCGCAAAGCGATTCTGTACGAGTTTGCTCGGACACCGAACTCAGTTTCCCGACCAGCGTTTTCGCCGTCCGCCGTTTCACCTCCATGTTGTTTGTTGCAATTCGCAGTCTTGTTCTTCTTCGCTGGCTGAAAAATCTGTAAACTGGAATTCTTATCAGTTGAAGAAATCAGAGATTATGTTGATAATCGCAACCTTTCTATTAAGATCCTGGTGATTGGTTTGCAGTTGTTGTTTGATCTGAGAGAATTCGCCGGAGAATTGGCGCGGATGGTTGAATATGTGAAGGATCGATGTGTACTCGTCAAAAGAAAAAGCTGGTGGCAGTTTTTTCAAACCAATCCACCTAACGTCTTTTTCTTTTACCGGGAAAGGATCCGGTCCAACATCGACTTTTGTTTCTTCTTACTTGTTGGATTAAATGATCTATACTTCTATAGTTATGCTACTACCATATTTTTTTACTTTAATTTTGATATGAAAAGAAATGATTTTTATACAAATAATTATCATGATTTGATTATCAAGAGACGAGATTATAAGTTACTTCAGACTCTAAATATAAAATATGTTTGGTTGGTATCTAGATGAAAACGTGATAATGTTTCTATAAAATTTGTATAATATTGACCTCAATACTAATAAAGGTGATCTTTTGATATGTTGGACCCTTTAAAATTGAAGTTAACAATTCGAAGTTTTAACGAATGTTGTTGTTTCGATAGAAATGTTTGGTTTTAATTTGATTGATGATTCAAGCAAACTAAAAAGATCATTCCGGTACCTTAGTTTATGTTCATCATAATAAAATTAAAATGCTCGTGTTTTTAGAGACATCAGGACGTTCCATAACAAAGCAAAAAAACTAAACTATGAAAGAGCATATAAAATTGATGTTGATTGTTTGTATGCATCATTATTTAGATTCATAAGATTTTTTAGAATGGTAGGAGAGTTCGATACAATATTTTGTTGAGAAGTTTTTCGTAACGATATTTCTAAAATAAAGTCCGTAACAAGTTATTTTTTGTATTTTTTTCACAATATTCCAAGTACAAAGTTCACATTTTGAAAAAAGTCAAAATACATAAATGCAATACATTTTATTACTTTATCGATAATTCTTTTTTTAAAAAAATAGTGATTAAATCCTTACATTTTCTTTATCTTATTGAAAAAAAATTATATTCTATCTACTTTTAGTTAACTTGTAAGACTACCGAAAAACCATGAACTTTCAAAACAAATTTTTAATATCATTAATTCACATTTCATGTGTCAAACATGTAATAATATTATCATAATATCTAACTGAGTGTATGACTCGTATAGTATACGGGTTTATTAAAAATAAAAGTTTAATAATAAAATTATAAGCATTATATAATTTTTAAAGCAATAGTTTTACATAAATACAAATTATATAATAAATAAAATAATTAATTTAATATATATTCTAGGAGATTTGAAACAATAACGAAAGAAACACTTAAAAAACATTTATTGTGATATTTAATATAGTGATCTACCTTACATATATAAACCTTACTAAAATTTGGATTTTAAATTTAAGAAAAGTGGAAAATACAAAAAATATGACAAGTGGAAAAAAAATAAATAAATAAATCCTAGAAAATTACATGTGTCAAATTCAAAAAGAACATGACATTTGGCAAACATGATTTTCATTTGTTATGTTAGATTGAACAAAAAGTGGGTATTGTATAGTTATTAACAACTAATAATAAGTTGTGGCAACAAAATATGAACAAAATCGAATAAGATCCAACAAGATTACCCATTGAGATGATTTAAGCAATAAATACAATTTTAAGGGGAATTTTAAATATTCTTAAATTGAAGTGCACTACGACTGATGTAAGGTTGAATTCCACGTATAGTATAGGAACCAAAGTAGTTTCGATCTACTAGTATCACAAGTGCAAACTCAATGAATTGATCAACCTCACAAGAACGATAATGAGTCTCAAACTCTCTTTAAACCCTTTTAGAATCTTTAAAATTCATTTACAAAAAAAATTCATTTACAAAAAGTAAGGCATATCTTTAACGACCCAAAAATCAAGACTAAAAATTTTGTTTTAAAAACATTACTTAAACCACAATATTAAATCATTTCAAACATACTAAAAGAGTTATATAACAAATCAGAGTATCTTTTCAAAACACTTATTCATTTCATCAGAGTAACATCCCAGGCTAACTAGTTATGGTGTGTGTTATGCGATCATCCCGAGCTCTACTCTCCGCTACCGGAAATACCTGAAACCAAAACTGAAAACTATAAGCACGAAGCTTAGTGAGCTCCCCCAAACTACCACATACCATACAATAACATATAAAGCACATATTGGGCCTTGCTCACTGCATCGGACCGAAGCCCGGACTAACTAGGGCCTTGCCCCCTGCATCAGACCGAAATCTGGACTAACTGGGGCCTTGTCCCCTGCATCGGACCGAAATCCGGACTAACTGGGGCCTTGCCCCCTGCATCGGACCGAAGTCCGGACTAACTGAACATAGCATAACATAATCATAGCTACTAGCATAAACACATATACTGCATACTGCATCAGAACGAGATCCGGACTAACTAACACATAAACATGCTTGAATCACAAAGACATCAAGCACACTGAACTACTGCACCGGACCGAAGTCCGGAACTACTGCTAACTAAACGGGCCGGCATTGTGGCCGTAGACCCGTTCCTACTGGAAGGAAACTCACCTGTACTGCTGAACTCTGCTGATAATCCTCTAGCTGCTAATCGACTATTCTCTGAAGCGCTGCTCTCCTAGCTCACCGAGCTACCAACACCAAATAATAGAACTTAGCCTAAACTGTCCTCCAGAGGTCAACTAAGTCAACTCTGGTCAAGGTCCTGGTCAAAGTCAACCTTCCAGTTGACTCGACTCGCCGAGTTATTCTACCAACTCGCCGAGTCCATGCTCTTCAAATCCCAAACAACCTCGACTCCACTCGTCGAGTCTAGCGAGAACTCGACGAGTTCTCCTTTATCTAACGCTTCGGGACTATCTTCAACCGACTCGCCGAGTTGTTCTACAACTCGCCGAGTCCATCTTCATCAGCTAAGAAGATTGCCTTGGACTCGCCGAGTTCCTCCTTGAACTCGTCGAGTACCATGATATTCATGTCCATCACGGACACAGAATGGCTGAATCCTTTTACTAACTCCACTCACTGATCTGTATCATAAACAGAAGGGTTTGGGTTTGCGACCCGACTCGCCGAGTCCAAGAACTGACTCGCCGAGTCCATCTTGAGACAACTCTATTCTGTCGATTTCAGTCTATCCCAACACTCCTAACTCATAGATCTGGACTCCTTATTCTAGCATTGCACGTAAAGTTGCTAACTTTACGTGCATGCAAGGTGCTATGAGGCTAGAACACCAAATCCAAGGTAATAAGAAGTTCAAGGTCAAGACATGGAGCCTTAGCTAGATAAAGCCAACAACTTTGAGCTTCTAGAGCTCAAAAGTGTCCAGATCTAATGTCCAATCCATCCTCCAAGGCTTATCACCCGGATTCCACTTGGGAATGGTCCAAATGTTACAAAAGATAAGCTAGAAAAGGGATCTAGATGATTAACAACCAAGGTATAAGCTTTATACCTTCAAATGATCTGGAACGTCACCCAAACTCTGGATCTATACTCCTTTCCTTGCTCCCTTTCTTCTACAATCTTCAAGATGCACACCAAGAGCCTTAATCTTCTCACACAAGCTCAAGAATGAAGTTGGGAGGCTAGGGTTTCGTCTCTGGACAATGGAGGCTATAAATGAAAACCCTAGAAATGAGAATGAGATGCTTAAATAGGGTGCCAAGTCCTGAAATTAGGGTTTCTCAACCCAGACCAGACTCGTCGAGTCAGTCTCCCCGACTCGCCGAGTCGGTCACTTAATCCGCGACACGGGTCACGCTCCGACTCGTCGAGTTCCTCCTTGGACTCGACGAGTTGACTCCTTTGACTTAGAGCTTTTATTACCTTTCCTGATCTTCCTGATTCTGGGTGTGTAACTCTCCCCCACTTAAACTAGACTTCGTCCTCGAAGTCCGCTATGTCCAACTGTTCTGCAATCTGCTTTCAACACTGCTGCCGGAAGAATCTAACTCCCGCTGGCCACTTCCATTGACCTTTCACCCGGTCATTCCGACTAATATTAGTTCTCGTAGCTAATCACCTTGAGTGCACTCTAATTCTCAACAATCCTGAGAACACATCTTACCCAACTGACCATCCATCCGATACTCCCCGGGTACTTATGATGGACATCCTAGGGGCTCACCCTCTTTTCCTTACGCGTTTTTGTTGGATTAATGTCTAAGTCCATAACTATATTTGGTATGTACTTGGCCCGACCCGGCATGGTCCATTTGGGTTGCACTTCACCGGCACAATTTATATGGATAGTCTTTTGAGAATAGTATATTTATGATTTATATTAATATATTATAAGTTCTAATATATTAATATGGAATCATATTATTTAATTAGTATTGATCAAGAATTAATTTAGAATTAATTAAGTGATCAAAAAGAACTAATTAAATATGGACTCTTATATATATGGAATGGGCCAAGTTCATTTAGGTTGGGCTAAGCTTTCATGGATGGTCCATGGAGCTTTTAACCCATGGATCCTATGTAAATGAAAGGTCATGGGTATCAGGGTTTACATGGATGTAACCCTAATCCTCCATAATATATAAAAGGGTCATTGGCTCACAAAATTGGCACAAGTGTGTGAAAATAAGAGTGGGCCGATTTTAGCGTGCATACATATTCTCTCAAGTTCTTCCAAGGTGTTTTGGTGATTTGTGATTCCATTTGAGGCTTCTACACTATTAGGGCTAAGCTCTTAAAGCTTGAAGACATCAAGCTACATCAAAAGGTATGTCATCTAACTAGAACTTTGTAGTATAGGTGCTTCATAATATGCTAGTTAGGATGAAACCTTGGAATATTTAATATTTGCATGTATAATAGAGAAAACATAGATCCAAGGTTTATAGGGTTGCATGTACACCATAGGAGTGTTAGAATGCTCAAAACTCAACAGTGGTATCAGAGCCATGGGTTGTTTTCTGTTATATTGATGCAAATGTTTTTATTTTCAAGTTGAAAAAAAAGGAAAAAAAAACATGACGTTTGTCAAATTTTAAGAAAATTACTTGTTGTGTGAAAAACTAATTATTTGTAAAATTTGAATCATTTGGATATGAAAGTTTTTTCTAAAAAAAATTTGATTTAAAGTTTTTATGGAGTTACAAAATTTGGAGTTAATGTTTTAAAGAATTCTATAACTTGTTCTTAAGTTATGGAACATGAAAAGTTTCATCATAAAACAAGTATTTAACTCCA